ATTCCTCAGCACCACATAAGCAGAAAAAAAAAGAACCGGAAGTGGCGCTGTGGCTCAAGTGGTAGAGCGCTCACCTTGAGCTGAAGAGCTGAGGGACAGCACCCAGGCCCAGAGTTCAGGCCCCACGACCGGACCCCCAAAAAAAAGCTATGTTACAGAATTTTCAAAGTGCATTTACCTGTCCTATTTAATCTTTTTAATTCTTGGTAACCCATTTAACTAGTAAGGAAATTGAGGTTGAATGACTAATCCAGAGTCCCATGGGTGCTGATTGAGCAGTATAAATATAGGCCCTAGGTTTTCTGGCCCCAATTCCTGCATTATTTAGCCTTGACTAATACAGTCTATATGAAGCATACGGTGTGTTTGAAAACAGAGCATCTACTTAAATGCATATTGGGGCCTCTGGGGCTTACCATGGTCCTGGACAGCCACGAAGCTTTTGGTCTAATGTGTGTTTCGGGTAAGTGTGCCTTTCTGTGGAGGCGCAGATGAGAATCAGGAGACACACATGGAACAGCATAGCGCAGATGTGTGGCTGTCTGCAGAATGCCAAAATGGGGCCCACACATTGAGGAACTAAAAACAGGAAAGACGACCTGCCAAGATTCTTCCATTACTTTTTCTGTACATTTTTGGTGTATTTACAAAACATACGTAAAGGTTATTGAGCATGCCTGTAATCCTAGCACTCCGGTCATAGGCAGAAAAATCATGAGTTCAAAGCCAGCTTGGGCTACCTAGTGAGATCCTGTCTCAAAAAATATGTATTTAGGGGCTGGGAAGGTGGCTCAGTGGTAGAGCGCTTGCCTTGCATGCTCAAGGCCCTGGGTTCGATTCCTCAGCACCACATAAGCAAAAAGAAAAAAAGCTGAAAGTGGGGCTGTGGCTCAAGTGGTAGAGCGCTAGCCTTGAGCTGAAGAGCTGAGGGACAGCGCCCCAAAAAAAAACAAAAAGTGTGTGTGTGTGTTGCCTTACAGATCTAGTTTGCCAAAAAGTTTAATTACATATACCTGTTTTTTCTCTTCAACAGATGAAATGCATGGTTTAACCTGCCAAGTTGTAAAAATGACTGGAATAGGAGAAGTGGATTTTCTGACATTTGATCCAATAGCTAAAATGAAAAGGGCTGTTAAATATGATGTGCAAGCTGTAGCTGTCATTGTTGTAGTATTAAAGCTACTCTTTCTATTGGATGACAATTTAGAGTGGTAAGTATAACTGACACAAAATTTTGTGGAAATAATACTGCATTGCACTGATAGTTTTTTTTAAGACAATAGGGAAAATATACTGCTTTTGCATGGTGGTTCAGAGTAAAGGAATGCATGTGTTAGTTCAGTAGAAAATGGAACATGCTTGGGGGGGAGGGGGGATGCTGGGAAGGGATGTGAAGGGTAAACAAAAGGAGGAGGCTGCAATGCTTGGTAAGAAATGTACGCATTATCCTGCCCATGTAATTGTAACCCCTCTGTACAGTATGTTCACAAATAAAAAAAAAAAAGAAAATGGAACATGGATAGCACTGAGTGGAACAGTGATTCTCAATTAACACTGACTCAGCTTGTGTAGGTGGTCTGCTCACGTTTCATTACTAGTGCTCTTTAGAAAGCTCTGTTTCTCCTTATTCCATGTTTCTCATTTAAAATACAATTATTTACCACTTTGTGTGTCTTAGACTCCTAGCACTGTCCTTCAATTTATTTTAGAGTCCAGTGGAGTCTTACAGTGTTGCCCCTCCCAAATTCAGCAAGGAATGGCTGAATTCATAGTCTCCCAGCTTTCAAGCACTGTTCTATACTTTCTCTCAGAAGAATTCAAAACTTAACTCTCCAAATATATGATTTTTAAATAAATTGATTTATTTATTGTTATCTCCAGGTCTTTGTCTGATCATGCTGAAGAGTATAATGGAAAGAATGATGAAGGTACTTAATTTTTATTAGCCAAGTTCAAAGTGGCTATAAATAATGAATCAAAAGATACACTAAGTCAGCCTGGCGCCAGTAATTCACACCTGTAATCAATCCTAGCTACTTAGGACACTGAGATCTGAGATCTAAGAATGGTTGTTTAGAGCCAGCCCAGTACAGGAAAATCCATGAGATTCTTTTTTTTTTTTGGGGGGGGGGGGGGCCGTCATGGGGCTTGAACTCTGGGCCTGGGCGCTGTCCCTCAGCTCTTCAGCTCAGGGTGAGTGCTCTACCACTTGAGCCACAGCACCACTTCTGGTTTCCTAGTGGTTTATCGGAGATAAGAGTCTCAAAGCTTTTCCTGCCTGGGCTGGCTTTGAACTACAATCCTCAGATCTCAGCCTCCTGAGTAGCTAGGATTACAGGTGTGAGCCACTGGTGCCCAGCTCCATGAGATTCTTTTTTTTTTTTTTTTGGTCGGCCGTGGGGCTTGAACTCTGGGCCTGGGCGCTGTCCCTCAGCTCTTCAGCTCAACGCGAGCACTCTACCACTTGAGCTACAGCACCACTTCCGGTTTTCTGGTGGTTTATTGGAGATAGGAGTCTAACGGTCTCTCCTGCCCGGGCTGGCTTTGAACCGCGATCCTCAGACCTCAGCCTCCTGAGTAGCTAGGATTACAGGCGTGAGCCACCAGCGCCCGGCTTCCATGAGATTCTTATTGCCAATTATGCACCAAAAAAGCTGAAAGTAGTGCTGCGGCTCAGGTGATAGAGGGCTAGCCTTGAGATGAAGAGCTGAGGAACAGCCCCCAGGCGGAGTTCAAGCCCCACGACCAACCAAAAAAAAAATTCAGGGACAGCACTTAGTCAAGCCCCAGGACTGGCAAAAAAGAAAGGTGGGGGGAGGGAGGGAGGAATAGAGAGAAAGAAAGAGGGAAAGAACGAAAGAGAAAGGAAGGAAGGAAGGTAGTGGAAAAACTTAAATAGTATGTATTTGGCAGCCGTGGGGTGGGGTGGGGGTAATACCTTGTACCAGGGCTGGTTTTGCATAGACTTCTTATATCCTTGGGCCATTAAGCAACTTCAGTGACTGCTGGCCTACTGTATTTAAAGACAAACTTGCTGTTTTCCCAGCAGCCACTCACTGACCAGACTATGCCATAAATGTAGTGAGTGACCAAACTACACTTTGACCTTAGTGACAGCTCTGTGACCACTCTATCCTAATCCCTCTAGCCTGAGCTCATGCAGAATAGCGCATTGTAAGCTTCTGGAGGGGCAGCCCTGTCTCACCTTTTATTAATTTTTTTTAATCTTTGGTGTCTAATAGAGTAATTAGCCTAAGAGCAACTTCGTGAAGTTGGTAAATGTTTGAATTCTGTTCCAGCATTGTTACATTCACTGGTCATAGAGTGAAAGGTTGTCCAACATCCCTAGTAAGGGAAAGTGGCTTAGACTTTGTGAATGTGTGCCACCGCTCCCGAAGAGACCTGAAGGTAGATGTGCTGTCACAGGGCGAGCACTGTTGCTCTGTGCTCTGCCGTCCTGCTCATCTCCATCTGCTTCCTCCCCTCAAGCTGCACCTCACTCATCGCGCTAATTGTCAACACAAAGTTCTGTTCTTTGGGTGACTTCCTGTCTTCTGGCTGTGCACCCCACAACACTATGTTGTAGGTGATGATTGGCATAGCCAGTTGGAAGGAATTTTAGTTAAACACCCAGAAGACTGACTTTTTTAAAGAATAGTGGAGAACAGTCCCTTTTATGCTGGTGCATTCAATGCCATTGTGCCTCTAACCCCTGTCAGTGTTTTGTTGTGAGACAGTCTCACTACGTAGGTGAGACCTACCCCACACTAGAGAGCTTCTCCTCCACCTCTGGAGACTGAGGATATCGGCCTGTGCCGCTGCGCATGTCTAGCCTCCCATCCTGATCCAGCACAGCGCCTCCTTCCTCATCCATATAATGTCTGCGCTAGCTCTACGAAGAGTGGGAGCTGCACAGTTGTGCTGCTACACATTTATCAGTCATTTGGTTCTCAATTCATGTATTTTCCAGCACTTCCAGCTTCCAGGCTGAGTGTGAGATTTGGGGGAGATTTGTATAGTGACTGATGAAGTCTAGAAGTGAGTGTGTAGAGATAAGTTTCAGGATAAGCTGGACAGGGCCACAGTACAGGTTAGGAATGTAGAGGGAAGAGCAACAAATTGTTCAGATTAGAATGTGGGGACACTGACATATCTGCAATTTCCAAGAGCTGTTACATATGTCAATGAATGAAGACCCATATGAACAAAATGATTATTATGGGACTTCTTCTAATATGTATGGATTTCAAATGAAATAGAACAATGAAACCTGCTGAAATTGTTTGAAGAAGGGATGAGGGAGAGAGATAGAATGAGTTTGATCATGAATAGTATGCATGGGTGGCAATAACTTCAGAGTAACTTCCCCTCTTGTACACTTAATACATACTAACAAAAATCTTTTTTTTTTTGGGGGGGGTCCGGTCGTGGGGCCTGACCCTGGGCATGGGCGCTGTCCCTCAGCTCTTCAGCTCAAGGCTAGCGCTCTACCACTTGAGCCACAGCGCCACTTCCGGCTTTTTTCTTTTTGCTTATGTGTTGCTGAGGAATCGAACCCAGGGCCTCATGCATGAAAGGCAAGCACTATACCACTGAGCCACCTTCCCAGCCCGACTAACAAAAATCTTTTTTAAAAGTTAAGTACAACGCCGGGCGCTGGTGGCTCATGCCTGTAATCCTAGCTACTCAGGAGGCTGAGATCTGAGGATCGCAGTTCAAAGCCAGCACAGGCAGGAGAGACTGTGAGACTCCTATCTCCAATAAACCACCAGAAAACCGGAAGTGGCACTATGGCTCAAGTGGTAGAGGGCTCGCCTTGAGCTGAAGAGCTGAGGGACAGCGCCCAGGCCCAGAGTTCAAGCCCCACGACCGACCAAAAAAAAAAGTTAAGTACAGGGCTAGGAAAGTGGCTTAGTGGTAGAGTGTTTGCCTAGCATGTATGGAGCCCTGGATTTGATACCTCAACACCACATAAACAGAAAAAGCCAAAGTGGTATGGTGGCTCAAGTGGTAGAGTGCCAGCCTTGAACAAAAATAAGCTCAGGGACAGTGCTCAGGCCCTGCATTCAAGCCTCAGGACTGGTGAAAAAAATAGTAAGTACAACCAAGTACCAGTGGCTCATACATATAGTCCTAGATACTTAGGAGGCTGAGATCTGAGAATCACAGTTTGAAGCCAGCCCAGGCAGGAAAGTCTGTGAAACACCTCCATTTAACCACCAACATACTGGAAGTATAGTAGCCTCAAGTGGTAGAGCACTAGCCTTGAGCACAAAATCTCAGGGACAGCACCCAGGCTCTTGAGTTCAAGCCCCAGGACCTGCATGCACACACATATGCACAAATTATGTACAGATTGTGTATTTTTCAGATAAGCCATGGTTTAACTTCAGAAAGTGGTACCAAGTTATGAAGAAAAGTTTTGACAAGAAGAAACAAGACTGGGAAGAAGCAAGGGCCAAGTATGTATCCTCTGCTCAGGTCCACCTGCACTCTTTCTCTGTCAGCCACTTCACGCTTGAAACTGAAGCTTCATCCGTATGCATTTAGCAACACAGGGGCTTTCTATAATTCTAGCACTATACATTCAGGCGCACTTCTATAATTCTAGCACTGTACATTCAGGCACACTTCTTTTCTTACATCTTTTTTTTTTTTTTTTAAGGTGCTGGGGATCAGCCCCAGGAGCTCGCACATGGTACAGTACACATGCTCCTCTTTTTTTCTTCTTTTTTGACATTGCTGTTAACTCCACATAATACCCTTTTTATTCTAGGATCCAACCCAGGGTACCACATTGCACTTAGCTGTTTACAGTTTGTATGAGTCCGGCTTGCATTTCTAGTATTCTAACCTCTCCCATCTATGCTGCCCAGCATTACCAAGATACCAACTATTACCCTCTGCCATGTATAGATGGAACGCTCACCTAGAATACTAATCTCTGTGAAAAACCAAGACCAAACTAAGCAAACAGCAAGTGTGTTTAATTCAGTCAGTCCCACTGTTTTACCTTCTTTGAACCATAATCCTGAGATAGCTCCATTGCTGGAGTTCATTAAGGATAGCTGTGTGACTCCACCCTGTTTTGACACAAATAAGTATTCAGCTTAGGGTTCCATGCATGCTAAGCACTTGCTCTACAGTTGAGCTACATCATCCCCAGCTTCTCATTTTCTCCCTGTTCTTGTAAACATCATTTTCCATGTTGTCAGATAAAAATTATTAAGGCATTTTCTATAGCTAAGCATGATGATCAGCATTAGTAAATAGAAGGCTTGACAGTTAATTAAAGATCTGGAGAAGAACCTGAAGAAAACTGTAACACATGGAGAAAATTTCTGTTTGGATGAGGCAAAATTTTTTGAGGTCTCACAGCAAAAGCATGATCCATGAGAAAAAATTAGAAATTGGGGGCTGGGAAGGTG